CTTTCAAGGGGGGAGCTGTCTTATGTGTAGTGACAGTTTATTGTGCCTATCAAAATGAGTTTCTGATCTCCAAAGGGATCTTTATATGAAAAGGCAAAAGTTGTTGCAGTATTTTGGTACCTCACAAATTGGATAGTCAAGTCCTGTCCACAGCTGTTGGGCTTGAGATTTTTTTTTTTTGCTAATAATCCCCAAGGGCTGAAGATGTATCTATAAGCACATCAATTAGTAGGCATTTGAGATGGGATGAAGCAACCCTGTAGGTATTTATTGTTTTCTAGTCACCTTGATTGTGTCTAAGGTCTGCCTTTGTATGCTTTTTATGTCAACCAACATCTTAATGCATGAAGAATAACAGAAAAAAGTGTTACTAAAAAGCTGTTTGCTTTCTCCAGTATGGTTGAAGCCTTAATTAGCAAAAGGAATGTGACTTACCATATGGTAAATATCACCTGGTGCTGATTCAGAGTTTCACTGAAAGAAATCCTGTATGCCACAGCCTTGTTCTTGTGGGATTCTCATGAGTGAAGTATTTCCACTGTTTCCTCACTGCGGGTAGTCTAGCTCTCCTGCTAGTTTCTTACTCAGACTGACTGTCCCAGGATCTAGTTTCACATCTCTTCCCTGTTTGAAAAAGCTATTCTTCATCTCTGCCTTTCCACGTGTTCCCATGCCTGCTTCCTGACATCAGTTTAACAAGCTTCTCTTGCGTTTATTAAAATTAATAGCCCAGTGTTGGAATGGTCAGATGTGCAGTTACTACTGGGAGAAGTATGCAGTGCTAACCAGAGCAGAGTTTTTGAGCCGACACTTTGGACTGTAGTACTAGGTGACCTAGGACAAAATGTTTCTCCTCATACCCTTTTCTCCCCATTGCACAATGTAGATAATGATACTGATCTCCTTTGTAAATTGTGTTGTCTAGGAGCTAAGTGGAAATGTCTTGTTCAACATCTTCATCAATGACCTGGAAGAAGGGACAGAGTGTACCCTCAGCAAGTTTGCTGGTGATCCAAAGCTGGGAGGAGTGGCTGACACACCAGAAGGGTGTGCTGCCATTCAGAGGGACCTGGACAGGCTGGGGAGCTGGGCAGAGAGGAACCTGATGAAGTGCAACAGGGACAAGTGTGGGGTCCTGCACCTGGGGAGGAATAACCCCATGCACCAGTACAGGTTGGGGGTTGACCTGCTGGAAAGCAGCTCCATGGAGAAGGACCAGGAAGGTCCTGGTAGGCAACGAGTTAGCCGTGAGGCAGCAATGGGCCCTTGTGGCCAAAAGGCAAATGATCTCCTGGGGTGCACTAAGAAGAGTGTGACTAGCCCGTCAAGGGAGGGTCTCCTCCTGCTCTGCTCGGCCCTGGTGAGGTCACCTCTGGAGCACTGTGCCCAGTTCAAGGGAGACAGGAGAGAGTCCAACAGAGGGCTACAAAGATGATTCAGGGGCTGGAACATCTCTTACACAGAAAGGCTGAGATGCCTGGAGAGGACTCAGAGGGGATCTGATCAATATCTAAAGGGCAGGAATCAAGAGGATGGGGCCAGTTTCTTTTCAGTGATGACCAGTGATAGGACAAGAGGCAACGGGCACAGACTGGAGCACAGGAAGTTCTGCCTCGATATTGGGGAAAACTTCCTCTTCGTGAGGGAGATGGAGCACTGGAAAGGGCTGCCCAGAGTGGTGGTGGAGCCTCCTGCTCTGGAGATGTTCAAAACCCATCTGGATGCCTTCATCTGTAACCTGCCCTAGGTGAACCTGCTTGGGGTGGGAGAACTGAAATAGGTTATCTGCAGAGGTCCCTGCCATTCTGTGATTCTGTGAAAAGGGAGTTCATATTAACAATAATTCAAAAAATCCCCCAGGAAACCCCAAACCAGAACGCAGGCCCTCCACGCTCCTCCTCCCACCACCACCCAAAACAATGCTGCAAGCTTACTGTGCTGTTTGGGAGAGGGGAAGCAGGCAGGCCAGGGTCTTCCTTGCTGTGAAGAACTAGGTTTTTGCTATTTTGTTCACAAGTATCTTCTTAGGCTCCCTGATGTTACAGTTAGACATTACTACATAAAGATATTTCCTACACTTTAGTTAGTTAGCCTTTAGATTTGAACTGCTGAAGTTTTGTACCACCTTTTCTTGTAGGCCCTGTGGTGGTTTAAAGCTGACTGTTGCTTCCATCTGAAGCAGATGGCAGGACAGGATGTTTGCCTGTTGTAGAGACTGATGCATTCTGGCTTATTAGTTTGAACTCTGAAGTTTGGTTTACACTCGGATGCAAGACTGAACTGTAGCAGCCAAAGTGCCAAGCACATTTGTTCTATTTTGCTGCCTCATTAAAGACACATTAAAGCCTCTGACAGAGGAATCATAGAGATATTTGTGGAAAGAAGCAGCTGCAGGTAAACTTGCCACAGGATGTTAGAGTGCAGTGACGTGAATGCTTTAGAAAACTCAGTGCTATATATAGCTCTGGGTACCTGACTTATTGGTTTAGAAATTCAATTTCATTCTAATTAGAATGTCTTTGTACATAAATGTTCCAATAACTCTAGATCCACTTATACATTGACTAAGGTTTCAATCAAACTTTCATAGATTTTAGTGTGGTATTCCTCATAAGGCAATTTCAGCTGCCAAAAGTGTAAAGGTGTCTGTGGTTTTTCCTTTCTACTTAGCTAGCCCTGTTGAAAGTCCTAAAGAAGTTTATTTTTGTGCTGATGTGAAAGTGTTTTCAGGATTTTCATTCTCAGGAATTTTTTTTTACCTCTTGTGAATACTTTGGCATAATGGTGTTGTTAATCTAAATGCTTTTTGAAGTTGCTATTTATCAAAATGTGGATGAGAGCAAGGCTTAAATTATTCTCTTCTGAGAACCTGATTTAAGGGGAACACATGCAGACCGTTAAGCACAGGTTACCACAGTACCAGAGATTAATTTTAGAATTTGTTGGAATATTTAACTCCAACACATTTACTGATACATTTAGTAGGTATCTTGGAACGTGCTGCTGGCTTTTTGTCCAGTACAGCTTGTCTGCATTTACCAATGGCTGTGTAACTGTTCCCTCCAATTGTTCAACGTCTCATTTCAGTGCGAGGATGTCGTCCTGGGAAGATTGTTCAGATGACCGAAGCAGAAGTTCGGGGCTTGTGCATAAAATCACGGGAAATATTTCTTAGCCAGCCTATTCTCCTGGAACTAGAGGCACCCCTGAAGATTTGTGGTACGTAAACTCTGTATGTGTATGTTTTAGGTAGCTGTTTTAATCTAGGTGTATGCTAAACGGGTTGGGAGGATACTGAGATGCGGAAGTGACCTTGGCTTGAGTGATACGGATTAGAGTGAAGTCTTCCCAATCTTAAGTGTAATTTTCCATTTAGATTGGATTAAGTTAAGAAAAGACAGCTAACAGTTGGTAGATTGTGATGCTTCCAGTACTATTTAGAAGCAAGTTCTGTTGGCAATAAGAGCTGCTTGTGCTCTTGTCTAGTGCAAGTTTTGCAACCTGTCTTGTACTCCCCTGGGGACTGCTTGCACGGAACTACTGCTCTTTTGATCACTCTTTCAAGAAGCAGTTAGCTACTTTAAAAAATGTAAATGTGTAGTGTTGTAGTTACTCTCTTCAAAGCATAAACAAAACAATGACCTTTGCATGTTGTGAAATGGAACAGTTCAGAAATAATGTTGAACATTGTTAATCTTTCAGTTGTAACAGTCTGCATACAGTTTTACCTTTTTCATTAGGCTTAGTTACAGTGTAATAAAATCCTTGAGCTTTACAGCAAGTTTTAACAAATGTTATTGTTACTGTCAAATTATGAATAAAACTAAAATGTGTATTTACCTCTCTGAGACTTTATAAGAGGCTAGACTTCTTCAAAAGTATGCCATTGTTAACAGGTATGCAAGCTTGTAAAAAACTTAGAAGAGTATAGCAAATACTGGTTTGTAATCATCATTCAAGTTATTAACAGCAGACACAGTCTTAGAAGAAGCCTAACTGAAGAAATTTTATGCTAAAGTGTCATAGTGTTAAAGCTGAAGCAATCATTGAATTTTTTATTAACCTGCTCAAAGATTAGCTTCTTCCTGGCAGACCTAATGTGGCAATGTTTCTTACGTTAAGAGGCGATATAATCAATTTAAAAAAAACCCAAACAAATAGTGGCAAAGTCATTTTTAAATCACTTAATACTTGGTAGGGTGGGGAGGCAACACCAGACCAACTTGCCTTGTGACATGCAAGAAGGTAGAATCCAGCTTTACAGTGTTGTGTTATGCTACCATGAAAAGACTACAGTAGTCTCAGGTTTCTTACATTAAGAGGGGATATAATCAATTTAAAAAACAAACAAACAATGGCAAAGTCATTTTTAAATCACTTATTACTTGGTAGGGTGGGGAGGCAACACCAGACCAACTTGCCTTGTGACATGCAGTTGAAGGTAGAATCCAGCTTTACAGTGTTGTTATGCTACCCTGAAAAGACTACAGTAGTCTCAGCGTGTTCCTAGATAAAGAGAAAATGAAAACACAAATATTTAGATTATACTTGCAGACCTTGACTTATGTACAAATAGTCTCCATCAAAGTTAGTTTCTTATTTGCTTAAATTGAGAGTTGAAATGACTGTTAGGTGCACAATAAGAGGGTAACAAATGCACAGTTAAATAAGGTATTTTTTGTTTTTAAGTTGAGTTCCAAACACGGTGACAGTACCAGGAAGTGTCAGGTGCATCTACATTTAATACTAGAGCAATTGTCAGAGATGCTTTTAGATAAAAGTGAAAGATGATGGCTTTCACCAAAAGCAAAATATGCAGCTGTACTCCTTTGAACTGCTATTTTAGTCTGTTTAGGCAATGCCTGGGGAACTGTTATAGGATTGTCTTGTCTTGGAATCAAGTCAGTTCAAAATAAGCTTTTACATCTTGAATGGCTGTGTTTTAATGTAAGATGAAAGATATTCTCATGTAAATGTCCATTTTAAAATAGGTGTGGTTTTTACTGTCAGGCTTTGTATCTAGTAGGCTTTCAGTTCAGCTTGTGCCCACATGAAGCTGGTTTTTAAAATGCCAAGTGCCTTGAATGGAATAATAAACACTTTGGTCCCTTTACAAAATTGTATCTATAAAATGTTCCTTTACCCTTTAAGTGCTTTAAAGGTCCCTCTGGCTCATGTATCACTGAAAGCAGTTCTAGGTGGCATAATTATAACACTCATTCTATAGTATGTTTACTTGGTAGTTAATTCTGGTGGTGGAGAATTCTGGGGAGTATATTGATAGTGTAGTTCTGAATTACTAGATGCAGCATAACAATGACTTGTTGAGGAATCTCCTATGTTCTTGTTATCAGATTTCTCAATTTGAAGTAGAAGAGGGATCATACTTGTTGCAACATGTATGAGAATTATTTTAGCCAGTGAAATTTCAGATTGTGTCTGGAATTGGGTAGCAGATAATGTTCCCTGTTATTAGAATAAAACTGGGAAGTGATTCTTCTCTAGTAAGAAATAGTTACAGAAAAATGCTGCCTAAAGGAGGAAGTAATTGTATTTCTGATGGAAAAAGTAAAGAGGAAATACAGCTATATACTCTTCTTACTGCTGTATGCTTAAGAGCTCAACTGGAGAGCATACAGGTTTGTAAACCTTTTTTCTTCAAGATTATGGAGAAGTGGTAGAGATGTGTGTTGGGGTTTTTTGCCTTTTTAAGACCATAATAGCTAGCACTCTACTGAAGAATAGCTGGGCTTAACAAAGCTGGGGTTTTGCCACTGAACAAGCAGCAAAAGTGGAAATGCACCTGCAGAATGCTTAGTGCATGGGACTGAGAGCAGGCAGTACTAAATGTAAACATCATGCAGCTTGTTCCAGAGGCTTCTTGCCATAGCTCTTTTGGATTCAGTCACTTCAGGAATGATTTTTAGAGCCATCTGAAATAGTGTGTTTTCTACAAGTTCCTGTAGAGCAGCTTTGGTACCTTTGAGCTGACAGGCAGCACCCAGATTGTTAGCTTTGGCTGGTCTGATTTGATACGTTGTGGTGTTGGAACTGCTACACAGAGCAGCTTCATGGGAAGTCCACTTAATTTCAAATCTGGCAGTGTGAGTCATGTGACAGTTTTGTCCTAAGATACCTGCAGGGTTGGGTATCTTATAAGAGGTATCAGTCTTTCAGTCTCTGTACTATTCTTATATGAATAATTGCATCAAAGGAGGAGTTACCATAAATGCTGGGGCATGGGAATCTTAGTACAGCAATGCTAAGGGAGGACAAGTAGTTGACCTTTTGAAGTGCTTTCTGCCAGCACAATGTTCAGTTTCTCTTCAGTCTATTTAGATTCTTCATTGATCTGTTTTTATAGTAAGTAATGTGACTTAATTTCTTCCCAATGCATAGGCTTCATGGCCATATAACTGGTCAATCAAAGGTTGTCTTTCTGACCTTACTTTTAATCTAAACAAATTAGAGTTTGGTTAGAAAGCTTATGCTTAATTGTGAAGACTTCTGTATCTTTTGGTTTTCAGATTGGCTTCATAGTGACAGCACTTCTGCAGATATTATGGGTTCTTTACATTTAGTGGATATATCAATTTGTAATATTAACATGAGTCTTACCTTTCTGATACCTATTGCCAGTCTGGTTTTAGAGGAAATAATGCCTTTAAGATCAATGAATAAAAAGTGATTGATTGTCCTAAGTTAGTGTATTGTGTACTCTTCATGTTGTTGCACTAATCCTCGGTAACCATTTCCTTACTTAGGTGATATTCATGGTCAGTATACAGACTTGCTTCGATTATTTGAATATGGAGGATTCCCACCAGAAGCTAATTATCTTTTCCTTGGAGATTACGTAGACAGAGGCAAACAGTCTCTGGAAACCATTTGCCTACTATTGGCATATAAAATCAAGTACCCAGAAAACTTCTTTCTCTTAAGAGGAAATCATGAGTGTGCTAGCATCAATCGGATCTATGGATTCTATGATGAATGTAAGCAAAACTTTTTTTCTTTTGAAAGACTATAACAAACTATTATTGTGTTTAGGAGATGCTCCTAGTAGTGCAAGTTTTTCAGTTTTCTGTGAACCTTCTCTGAAACTTTCTAAAAGTCTACTTCAAACTAAGGCTGAAGTCACTCTGTTGAATTATTTTATCTTCTGCTGTCCTTGTGCTGTTGTAGGAGATTGAATCCCAAGTACACTAACAGAAATAAAACCCTATAAAGACAGCCTGTTAGCATTTCTGGTCAGGTTGTGCTGTGTATTGCAGGTTGGCTTTAAGAAAACAGCCTTCTCTTCCTAATGTTGCACCCTGTTCTCCTAGGCAAGCGGAGATTTAACATTAAGCTGTGGAAGACCTTCACAGACTGTTTTAACTGTCTGCCTATTGCAGCCATTGTGGATGAGAAGATCTTCTGTTGTCATGGAGGTAAGCTGACAACTGCTTTTAAAGGCCATGTCTAAACCCATCTTTGGTTAATGCTATACCAAAGGGAGTGTGGATGTGTGTACTAGATACTTAGCTGGAGATGTTAAAGCTTATATTATCTGTAAAGGTCACTGGTATGCCTCATGCTGGTCTGTGCACCTGGCAGCAGGCAGCTGTCAATCCTACCTGATAAACATGGCCCTCTGTGCCTGAGGGGCAGGTGTGTCTGCAGGTATTCCATCAGTATGTCCCTCTGAAGGATACTGAATGTGAGGATACTTACCTAATTTGCCACATGACTTGTTGCTGTTACCACCTGTCTGTGCAGCTTTAGATAACAATCGTGTCCCTGGCAGTGAGCTAAAGAATAACTTCCAAAAGGAACCCCAGTTTTATAGTCTTGGCCTCTTTAGCTGGTGTCATAAGGTGTTGGTGGAAGGCACCTCTGAGGTCACATAGTCAAGCCTGCTGTGTGAAGTAAAACATTTATTAACAGTGGAGCAGGTCAGAGGTCAGCCATGGCTTGCTCTTGACTCTGTAAAACCTTTGCTATTGGAATATCTATGTTCTGTGGGCACCTGTCCCACTGCTGCTCTCTTCTTGTAGTAAAAAGTGTGTGGTGTTGATCTGACTGGGGCTTGTGTGAATCATTGGAACTTACCTGGGTGCTTTTCTTTGTAGAAAGGTACTTCTAATATTTTTACCAGCAATTATGCTTACAGTTTTCAGGACCTTGCAAAGTCAAGCAGTTGACTACAACAATTTCTTACTTGTAGTAAGAACCATCCTGCCTTTTTGCAGCTGTCTTTGCAACTGCCCTTTGCTAAGCAACTTGATGCCTCATACTGGGTGATCCAGGGATGGTCTGACAGGTGTCTGACCTGCATTGTCAGTGAGATAAATTGAGATTAGTGGAAGTGACAGCACTGCAGACACCCCTGGTTTGACTGAACAGCTCCACTTGGAATTTGAAGTAGCCATCATCTAGAATTCCTGAGCAGACTCTTCCAGACTTTGTGGGGTTGTATTGATGGCTGCCATCCTGCCTTGGTTAATCACAGGTATCTCTGCAAGAGCTCTGCCTGTATGGAGTGTGCTATAAAAATGATCCTGGCTCTTCTTGCTCCTCCTATTGAGAGCTTTCTGCCTTCAGTGCCTCCTAGTATAAACTGTTGGTCTTATGCATAGTGTGCTCTGGGGTGTTACATCTCTGTAAATAGAGTTCATGCAGTGATAGACAGTTGAGTTTGCCAGTCTCCAGGTAGCATTGACATGTTAAAGAAAGTACTTGGGTTTTTTTCTACATGTCATCTTTTACACTCATTCTCAATCAGTGTGGTGTCTTTTCTACATTTTTATGAACTAGCACCTATTTTATGAGCTAGATCTCATAATTTTAAGAACATAAGATACAGAATCACTTCTGCACTGAGGTAGCCAATTATCAGTGGCTAAAACTATGTAATAAAATTGTTTCCAAAAAAAGCTGGTGAGGGGTTTATTCTTTTACTAGTGTTATACTTTTAAAAAATTTATTTGGGAATAATAGTAGGGAATGAATGGTGACAAAACACTGGTGCTTCAGGCAAACAGTTAAGCTTAGGTGGGTGATAGAAGGTAATCAAGGAAGCTTAGGTGGAGTGGGGTCCTGTCTTCTATGACAAAACAGTTCTATGTGTATATGCACTGGAGACCTGAGTTATAAGGAAGAAGCCTAGAAAGATATTTTTCAAGAAAAAAAAACTATAAAGCTTCATTATATATATTGGAGGGATTAACCTCTTGTTTAATCAAGTAGGAAAACTTATTTTGTGCATAGTATTTCTTTAAAGATCCTCTTACGAAAAGTAGTATTTACTTCTTTAGTGAATGGTAATCCCTTACACTTGTACAGGCTTCATCTGTAACTGAAATTAGTATTACAACTGCTCTGTGGCTGTGAAGTAAAGCAAAAAGATTATTAAATGTGCTGTGTGCTCCTAATAAATGAGCGTGGCGATTCAGCACAGAAATAAGTGTTGTCCTTTTTCCGCTTTTCTCCAATCCTATGCAAGCTGCATTCCAGATCCCATGAAGTCATGGACTGTCAACGCTTTTCATGATGTTACTACTGTAACAAACACTGAGGCAGCAGCACAAACCACTCACCTCTGCTGGAGATTGAAGCTAGCATGTAGCTATAAGGTAGGTGCCTTTTTTACTATATTGCGCATTTTTGCATAGTTTATTTTTAAAGCATTGTCCTTTCGGATATAGACTCAAACTTTGCAAAACCGCATAACATAGTAAAACAAAAGGCACCTAACTTACCCAACAGGCTATCTCTGATAGCTTCAAATCCTCAGTCAGCTTGGGTTTTTTTACCCAGACTTCTCTGGGCATCTGCTGTTTTGAGTTCTCTATCTCACAGTATAAATCAAATGTCTCTTGCCATCCCTGTCTCCAAATGTTTGTGCTGCTGACGGGATATTTCATTGTATTCTTCCCATCACATCCCTCCCTTGCCTGTCTTTCCATGCTGCTCATACAAGTCATATTCTAGCCATTCTTAAGGCTGTCCTTTTGACTTCGTTCTGACTTTGCTGTTTATCACCCTTTATTAAAGCTTAGTCCGTAACCATTCCTGACTTCCCCCTTTTGCTCTGCTTTGTATCCTGTACGGTGTGGTCCTCTTATTTATGGCACCACTCTCCACTTCTGATCTTAAAAGCCTTTATGTGATTATGTTCAAGTTTCTGTAAGTTCATGTTGCAGTGCCGTGTTGATGAAACACATTGGTCTTATCACATTGGATTTAAGCTCTGAGATGGGAGTCACATTAGTAGAATACTGGATGTATGTAATGTTTCAAGCTCTGGAATTCTGTTTTCCTTGTGACATCGATGACAATTAAATGTATGTTGGAGGTGAAGTCTACTTGCTAAACTTACATAGTGTCCAAAGAGACCTGATGGACTTCCTGGATTTCACTCAAAATAAGTAAGCATCACTACTACTTTGTCAGTTCCACCTTATCAGGGAGTGGCTCAAATATAGAGCCTGGATTTGTTCAGTCTGCCAGGAGTAATGACAATTTTCTGTTTCCTTGAGGGGAGAGATCGTTATGCTTCAGTAAGACAGTATACTGAATGATGTTTTTTCTGTGCTTGGCTGTCATTATGTGACAAGACAATTCAATTGTATACTTCTCAGTTTTCTTTCAGCACACAATAGGTTGCGGCAGTCACTGTAGTGGCAGCAGCTTGACATTGAGCTTGAGCAGCCTGTTGGTGCTTTTACTACCTTTGATCGGTGATCATGTGCAACTTTTGTCTGTAGATGTGGATTTGAGACATTAACTATTTCTTCTTCTGCAGGGGGACAGTTAGGAAGGTATTTGAGAACTGAAGACCTTGGGTGGTTACAAAGGGGTCTACGAACACACAGGCAATTCTGTGGGGTTTTGCTAGTTTATAGTGGTGTAAAATAGGACCAAAATTAACAGCAACAGGGTTAAGACATGCTTTGTAATAACGTTTTCTTTTAAAGACCTTAATGTGTTGGATGCACCCCAAAACACTGAGAGCTGTGACCTCATAGAAGTTCACAAACTCAAGATAGTCCATTACTGTTGCTGGGAATGGTGCTGAGCAGAATCAGAGTAGAATCCACATGCCTTTCATGCCCACTAGATTCATGCTTCAATTACAGAAGCTCTGAAGTGTGTACTTAAGCTGTTCAAAGGTTGCCTTTGAAATACCATGCTTTGGCTGTGTTTTCATGGTAATATGGTAAAACTATGCAAAAAGAGTTGTCTGTGACAAATGATTTTGAGTAACCAAGGTACTGTGGTTTTATAACTGGTGAAGCAGCTGAGCTGTAGTAGTTGACCACCTCTGTGATCCTTATCTATTGTAGTTGCACACTAGTATTTGTTTACAGTGTCCAGCTCAGCTGATATGTGGTAAGATGCAGAATTACCACATGTGATGTGACTTAGCTTGCAGGCGTGACTGAAATCCTGCTTTGGTTTGTGCTCTTTTAAAGCTGGGTAGGGGACTTTTCTTTAGCTTTTATAAAGTGAGGTGGTTGTAAAGAAGGTCATCAGCACCAAGTTTAATTGTGTTAGATAATGGGAATGCTCTGCTTCACTGGTTCTCTAGTAAACTCTTTTAAGCGAGCATATGTAACTGGAGTTCTGTGCTGTGTAGTTAAAAGGATTGTAGTAAAATGGTTCAAACCCTGTGTTAATTTCATTTGCATTATTCTCTGTCTGTGTGTTCAGGAACTGAATTGTCTTACAGCAAACTGTCTTTTGTTTATATTACAGTAGAAACAATGGATGCTGTATGACTTGAACCTCTAATTGTGTGTTCTCTGGAACCCCCCTTACAGGTAAAATATGTAGATAAATCACTTGTTCTCTCTTGTACTTACAGGGCTGTCTCCAGATCTCCAGTCAATGGAGCAGATCCGGAGAATTATGAGACCTACAGATGTTCCTGACACGGGTGAGTGATGTGGAATTTACTGTGAGTAGGTCCTAATGATGAAACAGGTTTATTCAATTTCTGTGCAGGCAGTGCAGTGACTTAACACAGCCTCTCTTCATAGTACAGTATTACTTCATGTCTGGGTAGAGTATGAGTCTTGCTGCTCACTGTGGCTAAGTCACCTGATACGTTAGAGGCTATTGCCCATGTTATTGCTTGTCATAACTGCCTAGGATACGTTACCCAAATTTAGATAGATTAGCCACAAGTTTGCATTAAGACAAACTTAGAAATCTAATTGAAAGATCAAATGAAACTAAACAGCTACTTCTTTCTCTTGCCTTGGTTAGACACACCCAAGCATTTTGGTCTGTCAAAGAACATAACTGTTTAAGGATTTCTGACTAGTAATTAAAGGATTTGATCTTCTCTCTACTTGGGGCCATGTCTCCTTCTTTAAATTTGTAAAGTATAGTTCCTACTTCACTGCAATTGGGATTTCAATTGCTTGTATCATTGCGCTAGTCCTGACATTTTTTTCTACTAATACAGTAATACCTTATATAAAAATGTTGGGTGTGAATTGCAAGTGCTTTCTGTACAGTATTCTCTTGAATGGTTTAATCATCTTCCTTAGTCACATTTATTCCAAATTTTGCTACGAGTGGACTGAAAACACTGTCAAGCAGTACAGTACAATGTGTTATTTTTTAAAGTGTTGATTTTAACAGTGGTCCGAAATTAACTTTCAGAGGAAATATCACATCTAAACCTCTTTTTTTTAAGCACAAATTACAATTACAGTTAAACCTTGGAATAGAGGAATTCTGCTTCCTGTGATGATCCTCAGTGCTCATGCATAGGAGTAATTCAGGGTTAATATATCTACTGACCCTTAATAACATTTCTGTGCAAGCTGATACATGCACTCTTGATGCTGAAAAGTGTTACTAAATTATTTCGTGAATGAGTATTTCTGTAGTGGAAGTTACTACGTTGAGCTTCCTTTTATGCTACTAAATACAGTGAATGCATAACCAAATGTATTTCAGTATGAATGAGTCAATCTTTGCATTTATCAGAGCTCTCAGAAAATCTAGTTCTGTTCAACAGGCTAATTCTATTGCTTGAGGCAGCCCCACTTCAGGAAAAAAAAAAACCCTTGCAGAATGTAGTTCTGGTTTCCATGGATGCTCCACTGAAATCATATGTATTCTTAGTACCTCCTAAAAATAAGTATAGAGATTATTAAAAAAAGGCTTTTGGTCTGCCAAGTGGTTTGCAGTCTTAGTTTTCCTTTCAGAAGCAATAGCTGAATATCTACCAGCAGAGGTAAAATGAAATGCCCCATCAGAGCCATGTGTGTATGGTACAGCAACATAGAAGGTCTTTGCCTCTGGGACCTACTTAAGGCAACTGATACTATAAAATGGAAGGAAATCTTGTGAAAAAATGAAAACTGAACTGGTCTTGCTTCCATGAAAGTTACAAGTCCTTAAAAGCTAGCTTGGGACCTACTTAAGGCAACCAATACTACAAAATGGAAGGAAATCTTGTGGAAAAAATGAAAACTGAAGTGGTCTTGCTTCTGTGAAAGTTACAAGTCCTTAAAAGCTAGCCCTTTGTGGAGGGATGTCACTTGCTGAATGTCTGTCTTGATTCAGAAGTTCTTGGTAAATGTTCATGTGGCTTGACTGAGTCATTATGATAGTTTCTTCTAGCCTGATGGAAAAACCTTTTCATTGTCAACTGCAGTTTCAAGACCTTTTATTTTGGTGGCACTTCTATGGGGTTTGGAGGCTGTTAACTCAAACCTGACTCTGCATTCCAACTTAAATTACTTGTGTTTGGTAACTTAAAGGACTTGCTTTTGGTGAGGCTTCGAGATTAATGATGGTTTGGTCAGCATTGCCAACTTTTTGCTTCTTGGGGAACTGTTAACACCCTCCTTTGTGTAATCCTGAGTGCCTTGTATCAGGCATGTTATGGTGGGCTCCTGGTCACCCTGGCCTATTACAGTGGTAGCTGTTCCACGTTAACATAGAAACCTACCTGGGCAGCATGGTTTAGTTTAGGCTTATCGCAGGCTCCTATTACACCACTGCTAAAGTTTATAGGACAGATTTGCCTATTGCTGTCTAGAACCCTAAAGATTATTTCATTTTGGGGAGAGAATAGAGGAGGAAGCACTTCTGAAGCAGCTGAGACAAGCAGCTTCTGTCACTTGTTGGGAATTCATGATAAGAAATCATTGGGGACTACGGTGCAACTATTCTGTTTTGGAAAACGTCTTATTCAGTCCAGAAATGAATTTCAGTAGAGTTACTTGGTGTAGAACTCCATTTCAGTAAAGGTTTTGTTTTGCTCTGTCTAAAATGCAGTTGGGCTCGCTCTGTTCTTTTGTCTTCTGAAAGCAAATAAAACCTTAGCTTCTGCTAAAGAGGAACTGTGACTGGTGCCAGAGACCATTTGGTTGCTGTGTGTAAATACAAAATGATCTAGTTGCACAGTAGGTTTCAGACATTAGTTTTGCTTGATTAACAACTTGAAGTATCTTCTAAGAAGTGGTGTCTTCAATATTTTGTTTAGTAAATAATCAAGCATAATTGTAAATCAAATTTCTGAGTGCCAGATGAGGTACCCTACTGGGTTTTTTTTTTTAGATTGTGAAGTAGTGCTCTGAAGTATTTAAATGCCTAAGGGTCAGTCATCACAGGTAAGGAAAGTGCAATTTCGAGGAAAACTGTAATACATTTTAAATGGTTTTCATTTTGTGCTGTAGTTGAACTGACCTGGTTCTTTCTCATGTGAAAATGCTTTGAAAATTCTGTGTAAAGGCCTTGCAGCTGATCTAAAGCAATATTTTGTAGTACTTGGTTTTAACTAGTGTTAGCTGACCTTTTGTTGGCAGCAGAAAAAAGACCTTGACCAGTACTAAAACACCAGTGAGGTTTATCGTTCTAATTTAGGTTCCAGACTGGTTGGCATGGGGCTTTTAGAGAAGCCAGCAGTAGTGCAAACTAACTGAAAGTGCCACCTGAAACAATATATCAGTTTTTCTGTGTTACATTTTTATTTAGTAGGGTAAGGTTCTTCACATATGTTAAGAAAGCTAAGAATCAAAGCTGTTCCAAGTTCAGAAACTTGTGGTACAAGTTTATTTGCTGTATTTATGACTGGCCTTGCATAGGATTTTAAATTTAGTGCAGTTTTCAAACTAAGCTTTCTTGGTGAGCTGTGAAATTGATAGTTGCCTTTTGAAGTGCTCCCACTGCAGTATTTTTAAACCCTTCAAATGCTCACTGTAAACATGCTGAATGCTAACAATTAAACATAACTCTGGCTCTGACTTGTTTCATGTTGAAGTACCACTAGTGGTGAGGGAGGGAAAAATCTCCAGCCTTACGCAGACCATATCCTTTGAGTCAAATTAAGTACTGCTGAATTTGTTGTTAAAGCTTATTTAGGAGATCTAATCTGGTGGTTAAAATAAAACTAACATTATAGAATGATACTTCCTAAGACATCTTCACTTGTATTATCTTCCAAAGGCTTGCTGAATTTGTTGTTAAAACTTATTTAGGAGATCTAATCTGGTAGTTACAATAAAACTATTTTACATTATAGAATGATACTTCCTAAGACATCTTCACTTGTATTATCTTCCAAAGGCTTGCTGTGTGACCTGCTGTGGTCTGACCCAGACAAAGATGTGCAAGGCTGGGGTGAAAATGATCGTGGGGTCTCTTTCACTTTTGGTGCTGATGTGGTCAGTAAATTTCTGAATCGTCATGATCTGGACTTGATCTGTCGAGCTCACCAGGTATGAATTATGCTGCTGTTGCTTCCTAAAACCTCTCTTCCTAGACTTTCTATGTCTTTGGTGCTGCTCATTTCTATTAAAAGAAAAAGATCTTCGTAATAATGGGGCTTCAAGGTTGTGTCATTCTCTTGAACTGAGTGTCTGATGTCAGTCAAGTAAAATATTACAACTACATTTCCTTACTGATCTTTCTTTGGTATTTTCTGTTTACCATTAAACTCATTTCTAGTATACATTTGAAACTTCCTTAGTGTTGTGTTGCTATTAAAAGAAAAAGATCTTCCTAATAATGGGACTTCAAGGTTGTGTCATTCTCTTGAACTGAGTGTCTGATGTCAGTCAAGTAAAATATTACAACTACATTTCCTTACTGATCTTTCTTTGGTATTTTCTGTTTACCATTAAACTGCTGTTTAACATTGGAGGTAAAGTGTTCAAGTTTAAAGTGAAATAACATGAATTCAGGATTCACATTGAATTTTCAGAGTTCTTCCATTTCAGTGGTAGTCAGTTCTCTGGTAGTTGTAGCTTAAGCTACCTCTGCTTCACTTTGTCTAAGTACTAAGTGGATTTTTATTGTTACCACAAATCTGTACATAAAAGCTTTCACTGTTGCATTCTTTCTGGTCAGTGTGTGGAATGGGTATTAATATTTCTGAACTGCTGATCAAGATTGCTAGCAATTTCCTTGTATTCATGTAGTCACTTGAGTTCTTTATAAAAAGTCTGACATCTTTTAGAAGACCATCATGATTGGACCAAAGTGAGCAGTTGGTGCACTGGTTTCACTGCATTACAATGTCAGGCTTCTGGTTTTGGGGAAGAGGGAATATCCTTAGCTGGTGTGTCATACTACTTGCACTGTTTTAAAGGTGAATTATAGAGAAAATGCAGCAGAACCACTTTGCTTTTAGAGCATCAAAACAGTAATAAAAGCCTGTACTTGAGGTTTGTATGGTCAACACCAGTGTTAAGTGAAGCTTCACAGCTGCATTGCGGTGAAGATGTTATCCAGACCCTGTGTGTTCTGAACTAACAGGTCAAACATCCAAATACCACATAGAAACTAAAATGCTGGGAATCCTGAAACTGACAGTGCATAATCAGACTTCAAGTATGAAGGTACTGAGCAGTCAAGGTGATACATATTTAACACTGGAAATGTCAGACAGGTTAAGCTACCTGATTTGGCTTTCACTGCCCAGATAAGACAAAATGACTGAACTTGTGCTGTCTAAAAGCCAAGACATAAAATACCTTTTTAATGAATTCTTGTCATCTCTTCAATATAAAGTCCTGTTTGCCTCAAGGCTGACTTTTTTTTCTTCAAAATTTCTTTCATTTTTATGTGAGCTGTATTGATTTCTCTGGTGTTGACAGGTGGTTGAAGATGGATATGAATTCTTTGCTAAACGGCAGCTGGTCACCCTATTCTCAGCGCCAAATTATTGTGGAGAGTTTGACAATGCAGGGGGCATGATGAGTGTGGATGAAACTCTGATGTGTTCCTTTCAGGTATGATGTATTTGTACATTAAGTATTACTTTAGGTGTCAGACTGAGTTAGTCTGCTTGTTGATGTGCTTATGGTTAGTGTAGGGTAATATACTTGAGGTACAGAAAGGCCTGCACAGCAGGCTGGTGGTTTTGGACAACTGGCATGGCAAACCAACTGTTCTTCAGAGAACTCTGTGGGATTTGCTGTTTTCTGAACTCCTGCATATGAAATTATTTCCTCTATTCAGGTGCTCATTTCAACATATAATTGGGTGATAGGCTTTAGTCATACATAGTGATCATAGTATCTAATTATGCAGACTGATGGTCTATCTGGACCCTTTTAGAGTGGTTACTCTGATCAGTTTTTAATCCCTACTCCATACTGGACGTGTTTTCAGCCCCTTTTTTCCCCTTCTCACCCCAATGTAGTGGTATAACTAGAAGGATTTAGTAATATCACTATTATTGTATGTAGGATTAAGAAATGTATAGGATTGTGAAGTGATTCCTGCCCCCTCTTGTTCCTGCTG